AATCATTTTTGTTGCCCTCCGCTGGACTCTTTCCAATTTTTCTACATCTTTCTTCTAGTGTGGGGCCCAAAACTGGACACGGTACTCCAGATGAGGCCTCACCAATGTCGAATAGAGGGGAATGATCACATCCCTCGATCTGCTGGCAATGCCCCTACTTATACAGCCCAAAATGCCGTTAGCCTTCTTGGCAACAAGGGCACACTGTCGACTCATATCCAGCTTCTCGTCCACTGTAACCCCTAGGTCCTTTTCTGCAGAACTGCTGCCTAGCCATTCGGTCCCTAGTCTGTAGCAGTGCATGGGATTCTTCCGTCCTAAGTGCAGGACTCTCAGATTTCTTTTGGACCAATCCTCTAATTTGTCTAGGTCCCTCTGTATCCTATGCTTACCCTCCAGCGTATCTACCACTCCTCCCAGTTTCGTGTCATCTGCAAACTTGCTGAGGGTGCAGTCCGTGCCATCCTCTAGATCATTAATGTAGATATTGAACAAAACCGGTCCCAGGACCGACCCTTGGGGCACTCTGCTTGATACCAGCTGCGAACTAGACATGGAGCCATTGATCACTACTCATTGAGCCCGACGATCTAGCCAGCTTTCTATCCACCTTATAGGCCATTCATCCAGCCCATACTTCTTTAACTTGCTGGCAAGAATACTGTGGGAGACCGTATCAAAAGCTTTGCTAAAGTCAAGGAATAACACGTCCACTGCTTTCCCCTCATCCACAGAGCCAGTTATCTCCTCATAGAAGGCAATTAGGTTAGTCAGGCATGACTTGCCCTTGGTGAATCCATGCTGACTGTTCCTGATCACTTTCCTCTCCTCTAAGTGCTTCAGAATTGATTCCTTGAGGACCTGCTGCATGATTTTTCCAGGGACTGAGATGAGGCTGACTGGCCTGTAGTTCCCCAGATCCTCCCTCTTCCCTTTCTTAAAGACAGGCACTACATTAGCCTTTTTCCAGTCATCCGGGACCTCCCCCGATCACCATGAGTTTTCAAAGATAATGGCCAATGGCTCTGCAATCACATCCGCCAACTCCTTTAGCACCCTTGGATGCAGCGCATCCGGCCCCATGGACTTGTGCTCATCCAGCTTTTCTAAATAGTCCTGAACCACTTCTTTCTCCACAGAGGGCTGGTCACCTCCTTCCCATGCTGTGCTGCCCAGTGCAGTAGTCTGGAAGCTGACCTTGTTCGTGAAGACAGAGGCAAAAAAAGCATTGAATACATTAGCTTTTTCCAGGTCCTCTGTCACTAGGTTGCCTCCCTCATTCAGTAAGGGGCCCACCCTTTCCTTGACTTTCTTCTTGTTGCTAACATATCTGAAGAAACTCTAGTGTGGCACAGTTTTCCTGGCATAAAGGTGCTTATTACACTGGAATAGTTTATGAGAATTAGCACCTTTACACTGATATAGCTGCATTCACCCTTTGCAGTTATACAGCTGTAATTACATCAGTATAGTTAAAGTGGTATACGTTTTTATGTGTAGATAAGCCCTTAAACACCTCCTTTCCTCAGAAAGTCCTCCAGCAAAATCAAGAGAAATCTGACTTGAAATTCCTGATGTTAAAGTTAAAAAACAAGCTGACCCCTTACCTCTGTTCCATATCTGGAAAGAAGCAGAATGATGTTCTCATATCACATGAGGATGATGAACTACTTTTCAGACCATTAGTAACTAGGGAGGATGTTAAACAATATCTACTAGGAATAAACATTTTTAAATCAACTGGTATAGATCACTTGCACCCAAAAGTCCTAAAAGAGTTGTCTGAGGATATCTCTGTCCCACTAATGATAATTTTCAATAAATCTTGAAATATTGGGGAAATTCCAGAAGATTGCAGATATATCATGCCAATATTCAAAAATGCAAGTGGGATGACCCATGTAATTATAAGAGAGTTAGCCTGACAACAATCTCAGGCAAAATAATGGGAAAACTGATACAGGATTCAATCTATAAAAAATGGGAATATAATTAATGCCAATCAGCACAGTTTGGTGGAAAATAAGTCTTGCCAAACAACTCTGACTTCATTTTTTATGAAATTGCAAGTTGGTTGATAAGGTAACTGGATAGATGTAATATACTTAGACCTTTGTAAGGTGTTTGAGTTAGTACCTCACGATAGTCTGAGTAAAAAAACCTGCAGTATACAATATCAATGAAACCCACACTGATAAATAATTACGAGGACAGGGCAGTCATACAGAGCAATCTGAATCATTTGGTAAGCTGGGCCCATTCATACAAAATGTATTCTACAGCAGTCATACGTAAGGTTATAAAGGAACTCCTCACTTAACGTTGTAGTTATGTTCCTGAAAAATGTGACTTTAAGCGAAACAATGTTAAGTGAATCCAATTTCCCCATATGAATTAATGTAAATGAGGGGGTTAGGTTCCAGGGAAATTTTTTTCACCAGACAAAAGACTATATTTTATATATATATATATATATACACACACACACACTCAGCATAACTTTTAAACAAACAATTTAATACTGGTACACAGTGATGATGATTGTGAAGCTTGGTTGAGGTGGAGGAGTCGTAGTTGTAGTTAATGGAGATATCCCATCTCCTAGAACTGGAAGGGACCTTGAAAGGTCATCGAGTCCAGCTCCCTGCCTTCACTAGCAGGACCAAGTACTGATTTTGCCCCAGATCCCCAAGCGGCCCCCTCAAGGATTGAACTCATAACCCTGGGTTTAGCAGGCCAATGCTCAAACCACTGAGCTATCCCTCCCCCCAGAGGGTGGGATATTTCCCAGGGAATGCCTTATTGCTAAATGAACTAGCAATTGACTGAGCCCTCAAGGGTTAACTCTCACAACACTCTACAAGGCAGCAGGAAAGGAGGGAGGGCCGACAGAGACACACACCCTGTGTATGAGAGAAAAAATGCGCATTTCCCCTTTAAGTAGCTGACCCCAGGCTTAAGTACACTGCCTTGTTAATTAAATCAGCTTGCTGAGACCTGAGACTGCAGCTACTGCCCAGAAGCTCATCGTGTGTTCCCCCTGCTCTATGGAAGATGGGGTAGGCGGGGTGCAGGAGTGGTAGGGGAGGGGGAGACACCCTGCTCTATGGAAGATGGGGTAGGTGGGGTGCAGGAGCGGGGGGAGGGGGAGACACCCTGACATTAGCCCCCCTCTTCTCCCGTACAGCAAGCAGGAGTCTCTGGGAGCAGTTCCAAGGCAGAGGGCAGGAGCAGCACATGGCAGTGGGGGGAGGGACAGCTGCTGCACAGGGAACTTAGGGGAGTGGGGAGCTGATGGGGGAGCTGATGGGGGGCTGCTGGTCCACCCTGGTTCCAACCACCCACCAGCTAGCTGCAACGGGATGCTCTGCCTGCAAGCAGTGGACAAAACAGGCGGCTGCCAAACCATGTTAGAAGGGAGCATTTCACAACTTTAAACGAGTATATTGATCAGCTGGGACGACTTTAAGTGAGGAGTTCCTGTACATCTAGGAACAAAGAACACGGGCCATTCCTACAGAATGGGGGACTGTATTTTGGATAACCTTGACTGAAAAAGATCTAGGGATTATAATGGACAAATTCCTCAACATGCGTTCCTAATACAATACTGTGGGAAAAAGGACCAATGCAATCCCTGGATGTATAAACAGTGAGTAGTGAACTGAAGTAGGGAGGTGAAGTGGGGCAGATACCCCGCTCCTGAGAGAAAAGGCTAGGCTGATTGGGGAAGCAGCCACAGCTGGGGCCATGCCCCAATCAGACCATAGCTGGCCCTATAAAAGGGCTATGAGCCAGGAGCTAAGTCAGTCTCTCTCTAGCTGTAGAGAGAGCAGGACTTGGCTGCCTGGGAGAGAAGGGGACCTGAGTAGAGTAGTGCTGGGGAAAGGCAAGAGGAGCTGGGGAGATCCAGCCTGGCAACTCCCCAGGCTGCAGGCTCTGTGCAAGGCCTACAGAGGTACTGGGGCTGCAGAGGTGTAGCCTGGGGTTAGGCAAAGGCAGCAGGTCCAAACCCCCTTGCCAGTGATGAATGGTTTACAGACTGCAGTCTTCCCCAGTGAGTGGCGGGGCTAGATGATGACTGGCAGTAGCCACTGAGGCAAGATAGAGGGTTGGGGGTTCCCCTGGGAGGGCAGACCCAGAGAGTGGGGGTACTGAAGGGGCAGAACCCCAAGGTAAAGGGCACCGGGGTATGGGTGGGGCCCGAGGCAGGTGACAAACCAGCGTGCAGAGGGCGCTCCGGGCTGAAGTCAAGCTAATTCCCAGGATCACTAGCAGGAGGCACCACGCTGGTGAGTCTCACTGCTACAGGAGGTGATTACTTTATCCAGTTCTGGTATCCACATTTTAAAAAAGATGTAAAATTGGAGAGGGTACAGAAAAGAGCCACAAAAATTATTTGAGGACTGGAAAAAAAACGCTTTACATGAGAGATTTAAAGAGCTCAATCTGTTTATCTTATTAAAAAGAAGATCAAAAGTTGACTTCATTATGATATATGAGTACCTTCATGGTGAGACAATACCAGGTAGTAAAGAGCTTTTTAGTCTAGTGCAGAAAGCAGAACAAGAATGAATGGGTGGAAGTTAAAGCCAGAGAAAATCAAATTAGAAATAAGGCTCAAATTTTTCATAGGGAGAGTTATTAACTATTGTAACAAACCAGCAAGGGAAGTGGTGGATTCTCTATCTCTTGATGTCTTTAAATCAAGATTGGATGCCTTTCTAGAAGGTATTTTTCAGTCAAACACACATTATTGGGCTCCATATAAAGAGGCTATGGCCCGTGTTAAATAGGAAGTCAAACTAGATAATCTAACAGTTCCTTCTGGCCTTAAAAATCTATGAATATCCACTCCCATAGAGCATGCCCTGTGACAACGTACCCAGCTCAGACTGCATTCTCATAGAGTGTAGCGAGTGACTCCATGCCCCTCATACTGCATATTCACATATACCATGCTCCATGATACTTTAAATCCTTCACTCTTGTGCCAGTACCTTGTTGTCCAGTGCTGTGATCTCCTGCTGGTTGGCTGTTGAGAGGAGAAAGCTACTCATTTGTCCTTTTAAGGGATCTTCAACTTCCACATCAATGTCATAACACGCTGTCTTTTTCTGGTCATTGGGGTCAACACTATGGAGAAGATAACAGAACCTTGAATTCCACTCTAAGTGTTAGGCCCATTTGGGTCCATGTTTTTAGCAGAATCTGCTGAGACTTCTAGACCTAACTAGGAAGGAATGGGCATAACAGAGCTTCTTCTGTGGCACTCACAGATGCTACAGTCCCAGCATCTCCTAGTAGGAGGCACTGTAGGGAGCAGGGCAGGATGGGAGCTCCCAGCTACTCCAGTCTCTTTCCAGGAGTGCTGGCTTTGGGGAAAGCTCAGTATTCCAGCAGGATGTGTTGCAGGGGATAGTGAAAGGTACCTTTTTAGAAAGAACAGATGGTCCAGTGTTTAGGGTGCTAGCCGAGGTCTAGTGAGAGACAGATTCAACTCCCTGCTCCACTACTCACATCATCTTTGACTCTGGGAAAAACACTTAGTCTTTCTGTACTTCAACTTCCCATCTGTAATATGGGGAACAACATTTCCTAAGGGAAGGGAGGGGGTTGTGAGGATAAATACATGAAAGTTCATGAAGCACCCAGATACTAGAATAATGGGGTCTGTGGAAGTATCCCAGATAAAAATAATCTATCAGGGTTTGACAGAAAATGGAGGACTGGTTAGCAACATCATCTGTGGGCAAAGAGGGAAATGGTTCATACTTCCTTTGCGGTGGGAAATCCAGGAAGTGCTGGGCTGGCTGGCACACTTACCTGATGATGTGGTTTATAACTATGGGGTCTGGAGGCAGCAGCAGATTAGTGAGTCTCTGAGGAATTTCGGAAAATTTTAGCCGTGGACAGTCGAAGATCTAAACAAGGTTAAAGGTTTGTTAATATCCCTGAGGAAAAAAACTACCTTGCAATTGAACAGGAAGGTGAGAAATCAAGGGCTCAAAAGTCAGGTAATTCTGAAAACTTATCTCTAGCTCTGCCCCCTTGGGCACTCTTTATAGTAATACTGCGTTCCTCATAAATTCCGAAGTCACCTACCAGTCTGGCTGGATGCTGATGGGGTGGGCAGCATCCCTGCTTTAGTCTAGCAGCTGGAGCAAACAGCTCATTATAAAGTTAGAAGGTCAAGGTGTGACTAGATCACAGTCTATAATTACCTACATATGGAACAAATATTTGATAATGGGCTGATTAATCAAGCAAAGATATAACAAGATCCAATAGCTGCAACTTGAAACTAGACAAATTCAGACTGGAAATAAGGTGTACATTTTTAACAGTGAGGGTAATTAATCACTGGAACAATCTACCCAAGGTTGTGGTAGATTCTCCATCACTGGCAATTTTTAAATCAAAGATTAGATGTTTTTCTAAAAGACCTCCTATAGTTCAAATAGGAATTATTTAGGGTAAATTCTATGGCCTGTGTTATGCAATGGGGTTCAAAAAAGAATTAGATTAGTTCATGGAGGATAGGTCCATTAATGGCAATTAGTCAAGATGATCAGGGATGCAATTCCATGCTCATGGTACCCTAAACCTCTGACTGGACAACAAGGGATGGATCACTTGATAATTGCCCTTTTCTTTTCACTCTCTTTGAAACACCTGACATTGGCCACTATCAGAAGACGGAATAGTGACAATTGGTCTGACCCAGTATGCATTCTTACGTTCTTATTCTTATGTAGCAGGTCAGACTAAATGATCAGAGGGGTCCCTTCTGGCCTTCGAATCTATGTCAATATAGTCCATTGGTTCCCAAACTTGGTTCGCGGCTTGTTCAGGGTAAGCCCCGGCGGGCCGCAAGACACTTTGTTTACCTGAGCTTCCACAGGTATGGCCGCTCGCAGCGCCCAGTGGCTGCAGTTCGCCATTCCCGGCCAATGAGAGCTGTGGGAAGCGGTGGCCCAGCCTGCACCGCTTCCCGCAGCTCCCATACCCCTAATTGTTTCTCAGCACCTTTTCCAATTATAATATATCATTCTGGAGTTGGGGTATCCAGAACTGCACACAGTATTCAACTTGTGGGTGTACCATGAATTTATATAGTGGCATTATGATATTTTCTGTTTTATTATCTGTTTCCTAATGGTTTCTAACATTTGGTTAGATTTTTTGACTGCTGCTTCACATTGTTTTCAGAGAACTATCTATGATGCTGTCAAGATCTCTTTCTTGAGAGACAGCTAATTTAGACCCCACCATTTTGTATGTATAGCTGGGATTATTTTTTCCAATATGTATTACTTTACATTTATCTACATTGAATTTAATCTGCCATAGTTCACAGCTCCTTGAATTCTGCCTTCCTCCACCTCACAAAGTGGAACCACAAGGGCCCCTATATTCAGCTGCTGCCCAACATGCCCATGGAGGAGGGGTGTATTAACATTTCCATCCATTATTATATATTATAATAACCAGAAACAGCAAGAGGTTTAAGAACTTTAAAAAACAGACAGAGGCCACTTAAGAACAGAAAAAAGTAGAGGATCTTTAAAAAGTAATGAATATGGTTTGGAATATTCTACTTATTCATGTTGCCACATTGCAAACAACCTGATTCCATCACATCCTCTCGTCTATCGTTTGTCACATCACTTGTTCAATCTTGTTTTTAACTACTTTGTGTGCCCTTTGGAGCAGGGACCATTTCTCCCCATTCACTGAACTCTTCTAGAAGTTGTAATAATCAGTGGCTATTCAGCAAACTGAACTTTTACATTAAGGGCTTTGAAGAACTTTCCTCCTTTATAACAACCCCACACACTAAAAGTATCTTCCCCTGGATTGTTAATCTGGTCTGTAGCCTTGGGATCCTCTCAGACTCTGCATGGCACCTAGATACCCAAATAGCCACAGTGGCAAAAAACAACATCAGCTTCCATCTGCAGCTGGCCAAATGATTTGCCCTATCCCATCAGATTGTGATCCACCCTTTGGTAACTTCTAGGCTTAACTACTGTAATTCTCTATGTCTAGGAATGAAGCTCTCTGGTTTTAGGAAGCTTCAACTAATCAGAATGCAGCAGCCCAGCTGCTCAGTGACACTCTCAGCAGCGCGGAGCACCCCCAACAGCACTTTCCTCTGCTCTGACTCCTCACTGAACAGAGTCCAATTCCAGGTGTCTACCTTGATATTCAAAGCTGTACATGGGGCTGGCCCTTGCTCCCTGAGACACCGCTCTTTCGCCATGACCCCAAATTCACACCACCGCTACCTTTCAACAAGACTATGGAACCGCAGATGATTAGGGGAAGACTCATGACTGTAAGAGACAGAACCACCCCAGGAACCGACCAAAACTATGGAACTCACTGCCATATTAAATAAGAATGGCCGCCAATCCCACCTCTTCATTCATGCTGCTTTCCTGCAATAACACCTTCCTCAAACCAACACTTCTATGTTACCATAGTTCAAAACAAACCCTAAATCCCCTTATTGCTAGCAAGAAAAGGAGGGAGGGAGACTGAGATAGATCAATGTTGTTATTCTTACTCTCACTCACATACTATGATGATGGGTGCCAATACAAGAACCTGGATAAATTAAGGGCACTGATGGGTTAAGTTTTTTCCTTAACAATGTCTGTTCACTGAACATGCTACTGCTGCTCTCTTAAACAATGCCTCAGAAAGCCAGATGAAAAACATTACTTTGCATGCAACCAGCTCCCAAATGTGCAGGCTCATGGGCCTGCATCTCATTTACCCCAAGGCCACTAAACACTGCTCTGGCAATATAAAGGGGTCTTCAAGGGGGCACAAATGTAAATTTACAAGTAAATGTAATTACTCACTTTAAGGTCCCTTTATACTTTAAGAGTGGTGTAAAGAGGCCATAGTGTAAATGAAAATTATGTCCTCAGATCTTTAAAAATACAGAACCACATTAAGAAATTTATCTTTAGCCTTAGATCAAAGTAAGGTAAAATTTTCAAAAGTGACCTAGGTACTTAGGAGGAAGACCCACTGAGTTTCAGTGGGATTCAGGCTTCAAGTACTCAAGTCACTTTTAAAAATGGGACTTAAGTGCTATTGGAAATTTTACCCAATATCTCTGAAAAAGGGTAAGTTCAAAGTGTCTAAACATTTACCGTATATACTCGATCATAAGCCAGTTTGTTTATAAGCCGACCCCCCCCAAGACGGATAAGTAAAAATGGAAAATTTTTATAACCCATTCATAAGCTGTCATAACTATAAAGGGAAGGGTAACAACCCTCCTGTGTACAATACTATAAAATCCCTCCTGGCCAGAGACACCAAAATCCTTTTACCTGTAAAGGGTTAAGAAGCTCAGGTAACCTGGCTGACACCTGACCCAAAGGACCAATAAGGGAACAAGATACTTTCAAATCTTGGGGAGGGGGAAGGCTTTTGTTTGTGCTCTTTGTTTCAGGGGTTGTTCGCTCTTGGGACTAAGAGGGACCAGACATCAATCCATGCTCTCCAAATCTTTCTGAACAAGTCTCTCATATTTCAAACTTGTAAGTAACAGCCAGGCAAGGTGTGTTAGGTTTATCTTTGTTTTCTCAACTTGTAAATGTTCCTTTTGCTAGAGGGTTTACCTCTGTTTGCTGTAACTTTGAACCTAAGGCTAAAGGGGGTTCCTCTGGGCTCTTTGAATCTGATTACCCTGTAAAGTTATTTTCCATCCTGATTTTACAGAGATGATTTTTACCTTTATTTCTTTAATTAAAAGCCTTCTTTTTAAGAACCTGATTGATTTTTCCTTGTTTTAAGATTCAAGGGGGTTGGATCTGGACTCACCAGGAATTGGTGGGGGAAAGGAGGGGGAATGGTTAATTTCTCCTTGTTTTAAGATCCAAGGGTTTGGATCGGTGTTCACCAGGAAATTGGTGGAGAAGTCTCTCAAGGCTACCCAGGGAAGGGTTATAGTACTTGGGAGGGAGATATTCGGGGGGGGGGGGGGGAGACAGAGTTTCCCAAATGACTCATAAATAATTTGGGTGGTGGCAGCAAAACCAGATCTAAGCTGGTAGTTAAGCTTAGAGGTTCTCATGCAGGTCCCCACATCTGTACCCTAGAGTTCAGAGTGGGGAAGGAACCTTGACATAAGCCGACCCTATAATTCAGGGGTCAGCAAACTTTGGTTCCCGGGCCATCGAGCGTCCGCAGGCACGGAGGTAAACCTCAGTAAAGAAAGTGTCCCGGCGCGCCAGCTGCTTACCCTGACTGGCCGGGACAGCAACTGGTGGGGAAATTTTTTGGGGGGAGAAGCTGGGAGTCAAGGGAGTAACCCCTGTGACCATCCCCCTCATGACCCCACCCCTAGCCCGGGACCCCCACACTCTCCCCATCTCATCCCTTCCCACCTTATCTGGGGCGGGCCAGGGGAGGATGTCTCTGACCTGGATGGAGCTGCTCCGGCAAGCTGGGCAGCGCGGCCGCAGCCTGCTCCGGCGGGCCAGACCGGGCAGCGTGGCCGCAGCATGTTTCAGCGGGCTGGGCCGGGTGGCACGGCTGCAGTGTGCTCTGGCGGCGTGGCCACAGCCTGATCTGGGGGGCAGGGCAGAGCGGCACAGCTGCAGCCTGCCAGCCCTGGAGCTGCAGCTGCTTCGGAGGCTGGGGAGAGAGCAGCATGGCCAGAAGCGGAGAGACTCTGGCCTCGCCTCTTCCCTTCTGGCTGTGCTGCCTCTCCTTGCTTCCTCTGTTGGGGGAAGGGGCTGTCCCACCTCTCCCTCTCTATACCCGTTCATAAGCCGACCCCCTTCTCTGGTGTTTCCCTTTTTTACTAAAAAAAATTCGGCTTATGAACGAGTATATACGGTAAGTTTTGGGGTTACAGAAATATTACAATTCTGATTGGGATATAGTGGGACAAAGACAAATGTGCCTTTCATGTTCAAATAATTTTAAATAATAGCTGAAACAATTTTGTTCAGACTTTCAAAAAACAAAAAGTCCTCTTTAGGCTGAGTCACTTCAACTGGAAAAAGAATGATGAGCAACTCAAAATGGAGAGTTAGAAAGGAAGCTAAGAATAAACCTTTAATTACCATGTGCCTATTAAAATATTCATAATTTATTTCTCCCATAACTGAAAGATGAAATGATCCTCCCCTGAGGTGCTTACAAACTAAGTTAGAAAAACAAGGAGGGTGGGGGAATTGGAGTTAACACCCATAAAACAACATTACTCAATGAGGGTACTGCATGGTGTGATGGAGAGAAGAGGGTGAGGATTCTTTTTAATGGATGGCTTGGTTGATTAATTTCAGGTGGGTGTCATAGCAGAAATGGGTCTTGAGGAGATAACTGTTCAAGTCATTACATAGAGATCACAAGTGAAATCTTACAAGTTACTGCAAATCTAGAAAAAAAATGCCTTTCAAGAGACATATGGCATGTCCTTCCGCTCCTGACAGAGTCTGTGTATAACCAACCTGAAGAAGAGCTGTGTAGATCGAACACTTGTCTCTTTCACCAACAGAAGTTGGACCAATACAAAATATTACCTCACTCACTTTGTTCCTATAATCAACCATTCAGAATTAGCAGGTTATATTGTAAGACTGGTATAAAATGGTAATTAGGAAAACTTTAATTCATAAGTCAGAGCTGTGCAAAACAATTAATACAGAATACAGAAAAGCAAGACAAATTCCTTCCAGCACTGCGAAGTAGAAGGAAGAACTACGTGGGTATGTGACTCTGGGGGCTTTGTCTACACTGCAAAATAAAGATATGTGAAGAGTGTTTGTCTCATTGATGGTAATGCCTGCTGACAGCCATGTGGAACTGAAGAAATTCAGAGAATTATAAAAGGAAACTTTTATTCAGTACCTCCTGCCCATTCAAGAAACAGCCAGGTGCTAGTCCCAAGCTCTGAAGAGATCTTGCTACCAATAGGGAGTTACCTGCTGGAAGTATTTGTCACAGTTGATGTATTCCTTATCATGGGAGTCTTGCAGTTTGTTTGTTTTGATGTACTGCCAGAGGGCCTGGATAATTGCTGATCGGGTCTGTGTGTGTATTCCCAACAAACGGGCCAGTCGTGGGTCCAGTTTAAACTGTGGAGGCTGCAGCAGAGAGAGAGAGAGAGAGAGAGAAACAGACAGACAGAAAGATGCACAGGGTTGAGGTGAGTTTTGTTTTTAATTTCTGAGTGAATTTGTTCCTTATAAAAGGTGGCAGACTCAAGTAATCAAGGCAGCAAAAGTGCAAGCTGCCCAGGAAGTGTGCCTCAACCCTGCCCTGGAAGAACAATATTTAAGGGTGAAAGGAAAGTTCAGTCCCTGTGGAACTCTTGGCCGATGTGTTGAGCCTACCGACAAGGGGACCGATCAGTACCAATTTTGATCATGGCTTTTGTAATGTGGGGACAAGAAATTGGACTGAGAACCACCAATATTAATTCATTTAAGCAGGCCACTAAACAGCCATCAGAGGGTAACAACTTTTCATCACTACTGATGCAGCCCAAATTTGAATCAGTGATCTACAATCTAGAAAGTCCCATTAGCAGTCATCTAAGATATCCAGTCTCCTAGCTAAAATGAGTTATAAATAGACCAGGGCAAACAACTGATTTTTTGGTTCAGCTAGCAATAAAAAAAAAATAGAATATTCGGCTCATCTTCAAAAAATTTCAGAATTTGCCAGCAAATTGGAAGTGTGTGTCTGTCCATCCCTTATAAATTTTAGTGCAGTGTTAGAGCATTTGCATAGGATCTTGGACTCAGACCCACATTTGAATCCCCACTCTGCAACAGGAACTTAAATTCAACTCTCCCTGCCTTCCAGGTGAGCATCCCAACAATCAGACTAAAGGCTATTTTGTTCTCACTCATGCCTGCTGACGCTTGTCCACTTTGTATAAATACTTAAATATTCTTTAGGGCAGAGACTTGAACTCAGCTCTCCTCCCTCCCAGGTGAGAGCAGCATAGCCTATAGCCTGGTGGCTGGATCACTCAACTGCTCCAGTTGTTGCTGTTCCACTTTGCATAAATACTTAAATATTCATTGGGTCAAAGAGAGAGAGAGAGAGAGAGAATGACCTGGTGATTAATACACTCATCTGAAAGGTAGGAGATGTGGATTCAAATCCCTCCTCTGAATCAGGCAGAGAGAAATCTCAATATGCAAATATGCTTTGAATTGTTCCCTCTCATATCCAGCCCCTGACACAGGCTACTCACAGAATTTCCAGAGCCTCTGCACCCAAAGGTACAGTGTGCCCCTGTTTGCCAGTTTTACCTTAAACCATACTCCTGTAAACCATATAGCACTTGTGAGCACTTATAACAAAAGAAGGTTTATTTAAGAAAGAATAAAGATTTAACTAGAAACAAGAGTGAGTGGTGGAAAGAAACGGTTACTCACCTTCTCGTAGCTGTTGTTCTTTGAGATGTGTTGTTCACGTCTGTTCCAATCAGGTGTGTGCGCGCCACAGGCATGCCAGCCAGAAGATTTTTCCCCTAGCAGCAACCGTAGGGTCAGCCTGGGTGCCCCCTGGAGTTGCGCCTTCATGGCATCCAATATAGGGTCCTGCCGACCCTCCACCCCCTCAGCTCCTTCTTGCCGGCTGCTCC